AGAAGTATAACTTCGCCTCCAGGTCCTTCAAAAGAGTTATTGCCAAGGCAAAGTCAGAGCACATAGGCAGAATTGGCGAGAAACTAGTTCGCCTTCCTTCGGGAACCCGTGCATTCTGGTCTCTCGCCAAGGCTGTCGAAGGGAATTTCTGTAAGCCATCACTACCATCTCTGCACAGGGAGGACGACTCACTAGCCCAAGACGCAAAAGACAAAGCCGACCTTTTAGGCTCCCTTTTTGCGTCCAACTCGACTCTTGATGACGGGGGGAAAATACCGCCGACCATCCCGCGGTGTGAGTGCTCTATGCCGGATGTGCTATTCTCACAGCGCTCAGTTCGCAAAGCACTTCTCTCCCTGGACATCCAGAAGTCGAGTGGGCCTGACGGAATCCCCCCAATTGTGCTGAGGACGTGTGCTCCGGAGTTGGCACCGGTCCTAATGCGTCTTTTCCGGTACTACTACTCCCAAGGCGTAGTCCCGAATTCATGGAAGACAGCTTTTGTCCACCCGATCCCTAAAAACGGCGACCGCTCAGACCCGTCCAACTATAGGCCTATCGCGATCACCTCCTTGTTCTCCAAAATAATGGATCCATTATTAACTGCCAGCTCATCCGGTACCTTGAGGATCACCAGCTGATTAGTGACCGCCAATACGGTTTTCGTCGGGGTCGATCAGCTGGTGATCTTCTGGTCTACCTGACCCATAGATGGGCGGAGGCAGTCGAGTCCAAGGGGGAGGCGTTGGCTGTTAGTCTGGACATTGCGAAGGCCTTCGATCGGGTTTGGCACAAAGCGCTTCTTTCGAAACTCCCTTCCTATGGGCTTCCCGAGAAATTGTGCAATTGGATCACCAGCTTCCTTGCAGATCGGAGCATCAAGGTCGTTGTAGACGGTGCATGTTCTGACTACAAGCCTATTAACGCTGGTGTTCCACAAGGCTGTGTGCTATCACCAACGCTGTTTCTTCTGCATATCAATGATATGTTGCTAACTGGTAACATTCATTGCTATGCGGATGACAGCACTGGTGATGCTCTATACACCGGCCGGGCCAATATTTCTCGGGAAAACGTCGCCGAGTACCGGAACAAACTTGTGTCTGAAGTCGAGTCTTTGCTGGACAAAGTCTCGGATTGGGGGCGACTAAATCTAGTCCAGTTTAATCCTCAGAAGACACAAGTTTGCGCGTTTACCGCTAAAAAGAACCCCTTTGTCGTATCTCCTCAGTTTCAAGGCACTCCCCTTCTTGCCTCAGCCAGTATCGGTATCCTCGGAGTCGACATATCGAGTGACGTGCAGTTTCGTGGTCACTTGGAAGAGAAGGCCAAATTGGCCTCTAAAAAGCTTGGCGTGCTCAGCAGAGCGGGACAGTATTTCATGCTGGCACACCGCCTGCAACTTTACAAGGCGCAGGTTCGGCCTCACATGGAATACTGTTCCCATCTCTGGGCAGGGGCTCCCCAGTACCAGCTCCTTCCACTTGACCGCATCCAGCGCAGAGCGGCTCGAATCGTCGACGACCGAGCCCTTTCCGATCGGCCCGATTCATTGGCACTGCGAAGAGATGTTGCATCTCTTTGCATTTTCTTTTGCATCTACCATGGAGAGTGCTCTGAGGAATTGTTCGGATTAATCCCAGCCGCCAAATTTCATGAACGCACTTCGCGGCAGAACTCCCGATACCATCCACACCATCTGGATGATTGGCGGTCCACCACTGTGCAATTTAGAAGATGTTTTCTTCCTCGCACGACTTCCTTGTGGAATCGATTACCATCAGCGATTTTTCCGGACCGATACGACTTAGGGACCTTCAAGAAAAGAGCCTACTCCTTTTTAAAAGGCCGACAGCGCATCTGCAATTCCCCTGGTGTTGCGGTTGTTCATGGGCGGCGGTAGTCACTTACCATCAGGTGAGCCGCATGCTAGCATGCTCCAATAAAAAAAAAGCTCTGTAGCGTTGCCCAGAAAGAGAACTTTAATTTTATTCCACAGCCAAATTACTAACCTCATCAACAAGATAAACACGATATAACGTATGCTATTCGTATTAAAAATAAATTGTCATATCCACACAACCAAAACTAATGTTAAAATTAAAGTTAAAAATTCAACATGTTATTTCTACGTTCGTCCTTTTCCGAACCACACGTCGTGTCAAATCCACACCGTGTAGGTTGCTAATGACCAATGGGATCAGAATAGGCGACTGAAAAAGCCATGCTGCAGCTAAATTACAACTGTAGTACGAATGGTTTGATTGACAGGGGAAGGACTAAGCTTTCGCACAATAACAGTGCGAAACAGTAGAATATTGCTGCTGTGCCGGTATACCGCAATTTAGGCATTTCATAATAGTCCATCTGGTAACAAAACATCAGCGTTTTTATCCTTGACCGATGATAGATGTAAATGTTTATGGCTCATAGTATTCACTTACCATAAGATAGACTATGTGCTCTTTTGTCACTCTTACTCCACAAAAAAAGCATCCAAAAATATAAAATTTTAGCTCTTTAGGCTAAAATTATATTAATCGTGACATATGTTTAACTAACATTGATTTTACAGTATGAGAAAAGCAAAAACTGCACTTGTTCTTTAGATCCCCTTAGGGATTATCATTCAAACATAAAATTATCTTGTATTAGGAAGCGTGTTGGTAAAAATATTTAACAATAATCTGTTTAGTCAATGAATTTTTTTTTTAAAATATACTAAGAGGTTTTTTTTGACAACAAGGGAGACATAGTAGCAGACAAAGAACGTGATGATAAATAGATGATGTAGCTCATAAGCATTTATATCGATCTTCGTTAAGAATCAAAATGCAGATACGATTTCAACCCTGAGGACTTAGATGGAATGTTTCATTTCCAGTAAAAAGTTTTCTTCCGGTTCTCTACAATCACCATACGAAATACAGTTGGGTAAAGCTGCCATTCTGTGAGGTGTGGTTCTTCTTCGGTCAAGCCGACCCATTCGTGTTACAATTATAATAAAGCTGCAGTGTGAATCTACCAGGAGTAATTATACTACTCGTACATAGTGATGCGACAAACAAGCTAATAGCCCTGAGGCTAAATCAGTGAGACCCCGACATAACGCGTGCTTAAGAATTTTTTCTCTACGGAACAGATTTAAGTTAGGCATTTCCCCACGTAAAATCTAACCTAATTGAATATATAAAAATAATACTTAAAATCGCCCGTTACTTTCACAGTCTATCAAAACTCCAATGCTGAACATAGGCCTCCCGTAAAGATCGCCTCATAGGGAGATATTTGACATAGTTGCCACACTGACAGGCGGGTTGGCAACCGCTTTTTTTTTTAATTTTTTTAGCTGTTATTAGACTCCTGACTTGTTTCTCCTCTGCCTCCTACTACACCCACGGGACGGATGATATGGAGAAGTGGATATATTTACACCGCCACTATATGGGACTAGTTTGTAACTGTTAGAAGAAAAATAGTCTACTTGTTAGTTTCTTGCCGCTTGTAAAATAACAAAACGTGTACATTGAAATCGACTGGAAGATCTTTTGACTTTACATTTAGTACTCATTCCTTCATCGGCGTCTATTCACAAAGACTGTATTTCATGGGACAAAAACTATTGTTTCAAAAGTTTCATCATAAATACGGACTATCAAAGTCCACTGTTAAACAAAGGACTCGCATATATTGCCTCTTTGCCTCAAATAATAATGATTATACTTATTCTTGGCAGGCGGATTGGCAGCCTCATTTATTTATCATTTTGAGTTGTAGTCAGGAAGATGCTGCTGGCCGTCTTTCTTTTTTATAGGAGAGGGGGCAAACGAGCATGCGGCTCACCTGATGGTAAGTGACTACCGCCGCCCATGAACAACTGCAACACCAGGGAGGGAATTGCAGATGCGTTGCCGGCCTTTTAAAAAGGATTACGCTCTTTTTTTGAAGGTCCCTAAATCGTATCGGTCCGGAAAAATCTCTGATGGTAATCGATTCCACAAGGAAGTCGTGCAAGGAAGAAAACATCTTCTAAATCGCACAGTGGTGGACCACCAATCATCCAGATGGTGTCAGATGGTATCGGGAGTTTTGCCGCGATGTGCGTTCGTGAAATTTGGCGGCTGGGATTAATCCGAATCCGTCTCCTTTTTCAGTTTCCTTCTGGCGCTGCTTACGATACTCACTGGACGATATGGGGAAGTGGATAGACACCGCCTAGACACTCAAATAGTTGTCATTGTTGCCACGATTTGAAGGCGGTTTGGCAACGTAATTATTATTTTGAGTTTTTTATCAGGAAGATACTGCTGCTGATCACCTGTTTCAGTCTTCCTCTGTCACCCTTTACTGCACTCTCGTAGTGATATAGGGTGGTGGATTTACATAAGATGCTACTTTTTTATAGGATAAGGGTGACAAACGAGCACACAGTCCACCTGATGGTAAGTGGTTGCTGTGGCCCATAGACATCTACAATTATCCTCAATTACGAATCAAAATGCAGATGCGTTGTCACCCGTGAGGACTAAGCTGGAATGCCTCGTTTCCAGTAAAAAGGGTTTCCGGTTGTCTACACTCACCATACGAAACACAGCAGTGTCAAACTGCCATTTTACGCTGGTATTCTGTGAGAGCATGGTCCTACCCCGGTCGAGCCGACCCATTCGTGCTACAACTATACTACTAATGTAGCTGCAGCATGGCTCTACCACGTACAAAACTACTCATCTCCTGTTCAGTCTTCCTCTGTCGCCCCTTATAGCACTCTCATAGTGATATGGGGTGGTGGATTCGCATAATATGTCACTACACCACAAGCTAAAGAAATATTTTATGAAAAGCAGTTGAGAAACACACGATATATTATAATAAAAAATAGTTTCATATATAAAATAAAAAATAATTCCCATCACTAATTTTTACTTACACCGACTGTAAATTACGCTTCTGTCTATATAAGGCTTCGTACCGGTAATTTCTGTGAATTAATTAATTTCAAAATGTTGGGAAGATTGCTTAAAAAATTAGAGAGTCGAACAAGTCCGTTGTTAGGTCCAAATGTGAAAGCATTAAAATTCTGGGGTCTTTTATTACCCGAAAATGTAAAAATGCGATATTTTTACTTATGCATGCACATTTTGGTAACTGTTTTCACGGCGACGGAATATGTCGATATTTGGTTTGTAAAATCAGACTTTAATTTGCTACTAAATAATCTAAAAATTACAATGTTAGCAACTGTAAGCGTAGTTAAAGTAACTACTTTCCTCTGCTGGCAAAAAAAGTGGAAGAGTATAATAGAGTATGTGACAAGAAGTGATTTAGTACAAAGAAACGATAACAATGACCTTAAGAATTCCATTATTGATAAATACACAAAATATTGTAGAAAAATAACCTATTTCTATTGGATGCTGATGTATACCACAGTTGTAATTGTAATGACTCAGCCAATATACAAGTTTATATCCTCGCCAATATACCGAGAGACGGTTAAAAATGGTACTGAATCATATATGCAAGTTGTCAGCTCGTGGGTACCATTTGATAAAAACACTGTTGTTGGTCACATATTTGCATCAATTTATCAAAGTTATGCAGCTATTTATGGTGGAGGTTGGATCACATCATTTGATACAAACGCCATGGTCATTATGGTATTTTTTAAAGGTGAACTAGAATTACTGAAATTGGACTGTGCTGAAATTTTTGGGACTGAAAGTAAACCAGTTTCCGAAGACACTGCATTGGTTCGACTAAAAAGTTGTCACAAACGATACGTGGAATTGATTAAGTATGCTTAAATTTTATAATTATTTTTTTTTATAATGGTATAGTTTTTTATCATGTACAAAAAATATGCACATAATATACATCCTCGATTAAGTATTCAATTATACTCGTATGACCGCATGACTGCATTATTGGCTGTATTACACGAAATGATATAATAAATTTAATATTATATTATATAATATTTCGTTTGTAGCTTATGTTATTACATATTAGTAAGTATAGTATATAACCGTGAATTGGTAATTTAAAAATATCCATCGTTTCATGGTGTCGTATAGGGCAACAAAGGGAAACTGTAACAGGATAATATCCTACATATTATGTTTCAATTTTACGCTGTTATTTACCATAAGTGTGGTCTTCCCTTGGTCAAACACACCTATTTGTGCTGCAGACAGCCGCAATGTGGCTCTATTATAAAAACTGTTGGAAAATGTAAATCAGATGTATTTTATTTAACCTTTTTTATTTGTTTATAAAAACAATTGTATTAGATACTAGCTGTTCCCTGCGACTTCGCCCGCGTTCAATTTAGGGTTTTAATTTTTTGCACGGAACCCTAATTCTTTTTCTAAAGTAAAAGTAGCCTAAGTTACTCGTTATATCGAAAATCCTGTCAAAATAGGTCTAGCCATTTCAGAGATTAGCCGGAACAAACAAACAGACAGATAGACAGACAGACAGACAAAAATTTTAAAAAATATGTTTTTGTTATATGTAACCGTATACACTTTCATATGTATTTAGTAAAAAGCTGTTATTTTGATATTACAAACATACACTTCAATTTTATTTGTTTGTATAGATATAAAAATATTAAATACATCATTATGATAGTGATAGTCAATTTAGATTCAGGTACATAATTACGAATATAGTTAAAAGAAGATCGAAGTCACCAACTTCGCTTAAGATCCCACCTGCGGTTAACACCGTAACAGTCTATTATACGATCAACTGTGTTAACGAACAACTTATAAAATTATTACTATCATCAATCATCTCAAAGAATAGCACAAATCAAAATCCTGAGTAACCTAGATGCACTGAGTTCCTGCATCAAGTATTCAGACCGTTGGCAACAGAAATACGTGTAAGGGTTATAACTACCTCTACGGACTCTAAGGCAGATAAGAAGGTTTACATGTCGTAGAGCCACGTTGCAGATATATTATGGTTGTTGCACGAACGGATCGGCTCAACCGGGTAAGGACCACGTTTTGACAGAATACCAGCGTGAAACAGCAGCTTAAAGGGACTACAGAAGCTAAACGCAAGTTTTATAATGTCTTTAGGTATATGACTCATTGCATTAAGCAATATCAGAAAAATAAGTGAATTATATTCTAGTTATATAAATAAAAGAAAATCATTAAGATACCTCTAAAATTTGTTTAAACGATTAAAAACCATACTAATATAAATGAAATAATTCCGATTGTTTGTCAGATCTACAAGCAACATATTAACGTAATAGCATTTTAATTTTTAGATCCAATCAATAGATTTTTTTTTATTCCCATATTCTTCTTGCTGAACATAATACGTATGCATGCGTGCGCAAACACCTGTGTACCGGCCGAGGCTTGTGCTGCACCAAGTTGTGTAAATGTGTGCGTACATCATTCGTCGTCACTTAGCTCTTGTAGTCCTCTTAATATTGTTATGTATGACGAGTGTAGAGAACCGTAGAATCTTTTTACCGGAAACAAGGCATTCCATCTTAGTCTGCAGAGCTAACAATGCATTTGAATTTTGATTCGTTGTCGAGGAGAGCTGTGAAAGTCTATGGGCTACAATATCCACTTCCCATCAGGTAAATGGTGTGATAATGTATCACCCATACTTTATAAAAGAAACATCCAATGAAATTGTATGCTTACTAACCTAAATAATAGATATTATGTTTATTACAGGTATGCAAAGATGTTTGATTCAGTTTTATCACCAATAATGCTTTTGTACATGTTTGTATGTTCTGTAATGCTTTGTGCCTCAGCCTATCAGATCACAGTAAGTCAAGAAATTATTTTATATATATAAATGTAAAGTAACAGCATATACACGTCCCACTGCTAGGTATTTGCCTCCTCTCCTATCTGAAAGGGCAAGAAAATGTTCGCCGCGCTGTCTAAATGGATGTAGGGGGAGTGCACATGCCTTTGAATAATTTCTTGAATTTCTCAGACGTGCAGGTTTTCTGACGATGTTATCCATCACCACTGAGCATATCACAAGTCGCTAAGCATTTCAATTAACAATTTCATGGGTGTCAGCGAGTTTCGAACCCGGGCACTCTCCTAAATTAACAACGAGCGCATTGCGGTTGCCAACCCGCCTGTCAAGCATGACAAGTATGTCAAATGTCCCCCCTATGAGCTTGACGCCTGATGATTGAATGACCTAATGAATATGTATACACCTGTGATGTAAACAGGCCTCCCCCATAGATTGTATGGGGGATGTCTATGTAGCAATATATCCTTTTTAACTATATTTATTTTTTATAAATTCGGTGTCCCAAATTTTCGAGAAAAGCCTTTTACTAACGATGCGAATGATTTTTTTAGTATGTTCACAGATTTTTCGGAAATGGGCTTAAATTATTCTTATTATTATAAATTTAAAGAAAACTTTATAAAATTCAAAAGTTCTATCCCTAAGGGTGAAAAATAGAAGTTGAAAAATTGTATGTTAAATTTGACAAAAAATAACTATGCGTACATCCGCTAGATATCACATATCTAGCGGATGTACGCAAAGTTATTTTTGTCAAATTTAATATAATGGACTTCCGCAAAGTAACGCCTGATTCTATTAAATTGTATGTTTATGTATGATAATTATTTAGTTCAATTAACATGTTTAATAATCGAATCCAAGCTAGCCCCTTAGCAACCACGGCTCTCCTGAGCTACCACGGCTCTCATGAGCTACTGCGATGCACACGATGTAACGTGTGTCCTAAATCGATTACAAAACAACTGCCTTTTTGGTCTAGGGGTCGCAAATGCTGATCATAAGGATCCCGGGTTCGAATACCGGACTTCTGTCAAGAAAATCTCAGTAGCAGCCTGGAGTCTGAAAGTTTATGGTGTATCACCCCCGTGGTTCGGAAAGTACGTAAAGCCGTTGGTCTGACGTATCGAATTACTAACGCATCGGACTATGAGAGTGATGGAATAAAAAGAGCACATGTGCTTGCGCATACCCTCGAGCTCTACCTTTAATACTGTCCTGTGCAGATAATTGGTCTCCGTTGAGATTGGCCAACGTAACCGAAATTCCGTCTGAAGGACATTATTATTACAAAAAATAAGCAACAATTTTTATGTTATTATCAAAGAAAATAAAAAGATTCATTTTTTATTTTGATATAATATATATGTGCATATTTCAAAAGAAGCGGCGTTGATTCATCAAGTTGAATTTTAGGTTGAAACGAGCGCTATGCAACGTTTTCTGACTACGGAATATTTGATATTCGGAGTCGCACAGTTGTTTATTTACTGCTGGCATAGTAACGATGTTTTTTATGCGGTTAGTATTATTTACATTAATATTAAAATAAGTAAGCAAAGATGCAACCTTTGTGTGCCACACTGCTGGACACTAGCCTCCTCTCCTGTGCTCACTGTGCGTTCCGTGGTGATAGGTGAAATATAATATAAATTAGACATCACAAAGAAGTTACTATAAATATTATTAAGTTTTTTAAATAAAAACCCTACCTTGTGAATGGCCAGTATCTAGCAGTGTACTTTTAGAAAAAAAAGAAGAAACACTTTATATTGCTACAGGTTATTGACGTACAACATTATACTTGTATTATAGTATAACAAAAATACGACATTTAATAAATTTGCCTTGACATTTAATAAACTCAGCTTGAGTTGTGACGAATTCACAATGCAGATTTTTAGTAATAACCAAAAAAACCTAGGAGAATACAGCTCCCAGAGTAAATAAGGTAATGAATTTTAAACCGAAAGAAAAAAAAAGCAACCATTCTTTACTTGAAGCCACCGAGTCAGGAATTCGTGACCGCCAGGCATTTTAATACATGTATGCTGCTAAATATTTAAAGTATGTTTAGTGTTAAATTTATATAAACATAAAAATATTAGCGCAAAAAAATAAAAACATATTACAAACTAATGATTTCTTATATTTACGCGAACACTACACATTGAATAAAACTACTTTTACGGATACTATCGAGTTTAATTAACTTAATTTTTATTAATTAAATTAAAAACTATATACATATTTAAAATGATTAAAATAATTTGCTAAAAGAAACGTAAACATAAAACTTATTGACTCTAATTTTAAATAAAAGTTATGTTTAAAACATACAAAACAAAAATCGATAAAACAGAATTGAACAATGCGTGATCTCATTTCTACTTTTTTCTATTTTTCTTGACCAATTTCTGTCTTTTTTCTGTTTTTGGAGTTATTGAGGAAGAAGAATACATTACTGATTTCTTATAATTACGCGAATACGGTTCGAAAGATGTCCACATGACAGCTCCAGTATGCGATTATGAGCTGAATAGTCTCAACAATCACGATTTGATAGATTAAAAATTGTTGCAAAAGAACACCGATCCCAAGGAGAAAGATTCTATCGCGAGTCTACACAAATAGAAAGATATTCAAATACCAATAGAGAAGACGGCTGGGTGCAACCATCTGTTTTGGATCCTATAGTTAATTAAATATATTCAGAACTACGAAGAATTCACTTATCATCACATAATAAATCCTGGGCGAATCCCTAACGTAGTAATAATAGATATCTTCAAGAAAATGTACATTGAAAATGGACTATGTCCAGCATGCATGGGCAGTAAACAATTTTATCCCGGTGAATGGAGAAAATGTTTATCCCCTCGCTTAGTTTAATCCACCCTTCGAGCATGGGCGGACTGGTGGATATAATATCCACAGTAGATAAAATGGTAAATAGACTTAGATAGATTTTTTGTAGGAACGTAGACTTAAATTTTTTTGTAGAAATGTACATAAAAGATAATTTTTTATCTTTCATTTAGCTTAATGCTACGAACGGGGAATATGTCTACTCGTTATGTCAAACGGGGATATACTTCCCGCCGTTGCCGTGCTTTGGCATTAGGATAAGATAATTTTATGTCTTGTCAGTGGATATAACCGGGGGTTAAATTTTTTGTTCCCAGCCCATGCCAGCCGTGCAATGAATCATAAAAAAACTGTTTACGATTATAATCCTTTTCAAAACACGATCGACGTTTCCTTATCTCTCCTCTATGAACTACTTCATGTATTTTAATTTTGAATAAATTATTTGCGAACATTTCAGAGTATGGACGTCATGCAAGGCCCTTATAACAGCTTATGGTGGAATAGAGGAAAATCTCGACAAAAGGAAATACAAATATTAATTGGACTGTTAAATAGGTCGATTGTATTTTCCGCTGGGCCTTTTACGGATTTGACCGTGGCTACTTTTATAAACGTACGTTATTTATGTATACATAATAAATGTACTTAATGTTCAGAAAAGTAAAGTTACTATTAAAAATATAGTGACGCAGAAGGCGATATTTTGGGTCGTGTAAGTTAACGCTAGTGGAAAATATGAACAATCCTCATTTTTAAGACATCCAGATCCATTAGCGACTGGAGACTACTTTCCAGGGCCTACCTTCAAGGAAGGAAACAGTTGTTGCCAAGCCAAGTAGCAGCATGTTGTGAACCCCCCCTCTCCACGCGCCACCGAAAGGTTTTTGGGGCGTAGTAATAAAATATACTTAAATATTATGTACACAAAAGTCAAGGTAAGTGGAGCAGATAGAAAGAATTGAGAAGCATCCTCAAAAGTAAACGCACATACTTTTTTTAATTCTTGCATGCTTTTATTCTGCATGCTAATTGGAGGATTTAGATTATTTCTTTATATACATACTTGATCTAAAACATAGAAAATTATCCAAATATTACGTAAAAGTATAAATTTTTATAACAACACAGACACTAACGCTTACTTAAACGTCTAATCACACAAACATTTTTGTACTAGTAATAATCTGAAATAAGCACATAGTTTGCCTGATCAAAAATGTATGCTGTAGTCCATGGACACCTATATCTATTCTTATGGCAATCAAATTAACTGTTATTCCCAAAGACTTTTTTTATAAAATTAAAGTAACAAACAAGCTTACAGTCCAACTGATGGTTGGTGACAGCAGACCATGGACATTGTATAGCTGCAGCCAACATTAAACAAATAAAAGTACAGATGCGTTGTCGCTTCTGCGGATTACAATGGAATGCATAAAGTAAGGTAAAGGTACAGTCTTTATACTTCCTACTGCTGAGCACAGGCCTCCTCTCACTTTTAGAGGGTTTTAAGGCAAGGAAATGTCCGCCGCTCTTTCGAAATACGTGTTGGCAGCATATTTGTCGATGCTGTTACACTTTACAGGTAGCTTAATAACAGCAGTTTTATTTAAAAAAAAAAACTAATTAAAAATGAACTTATAATTCACCTCATGGTAAGTGACTTTTGCAGTCCTGGGATACCTGCAGTTAATTTCAAAGAAAGAAGGCAACAGATGCGTCACCTCTTGCCCCACAGATTGTAAATATAATCCAGAACGAATTTCGGTCACGGCGGCCAGTCTCAACGGAGACTAGCCATCGGTGCAGGACAGGATTATAGTGCCCAAGTGTATGCGCAAGCACAGGCGCATTCTCTATTCTGTCACTCTCATAATCTGATCAGACGGTAAACCGACACGACCGGAGAGAGATCAGGCGCAGGACCAACGGATTAACGTGCTTTCCAAGGCACGGGGGTGAGACATCGCAAATTTCCTGACTGCGGGCAGCTACTAAGAGTTTCTTGACGGAAAAACTCAATAAGCGATATTTTTAATGACCCGACCCGGGACTCGTACCCGGGACTTCATGATCAACAGTCGCGTTTACAACCACTAGACCCTTCGACCAGAATACAGCAGTACTAGCGCTGTTACTTGCCGGCAGAAATAGGTCAGAGGGTAACTAGTATTTCGAATTTTCACCAATATACTTCTGCACATCTCGTATTTGAATTTTTTCTCTCACATCGCCAGTAAACAGCTGTAATATTAGTGACATAAATTTATACTATACTTTTAAATATTTTCAGATTTTAAAAGGGGCTTACAGTTACTACACTTTATTGAGACAGTCACAGGAAGGCGCTGCTACAAATTAAAATAAGCAGTAAAATTAGATAATATGATATAATTAATATTTAAGTCATTTTGAACAACACCATAAAATAACTGCTGATATAGCTAGCTAGATGCTAGATAATAATCTACTACTGTAATATTTTTTAAGTTTCTTTGGTCTATTTTTAAGCTACTATATTATCATATAAGTAAAGATAATATCATTCGTTAGACAACAAGTTAAACCTTAGTTGATTCTAAATTCATGATATCCAGAGTTTGAATTTATTCATAAATAATTATAACTCAAAACGCTGCGCTTCTGCCTCTTTTTGTTTAATATAAGGGCAAACGAGCATGCGGCTCACCTAGTGGACAGTTGCAGTTTATGCCAACTTATACTTATAGGGTTAAATATGTTACCTATCCGGAAGTAAGTTTATAATTAATCGTTAAATTCGTACCACGTAGACAAACAAAACGAAAGATGAAAAACCAAGTGAATTCACACTGCATTGTCAAACCAAAAAAAGAACTAATTGCCACATAGAAGGGATTTTACCGTAGCTGCCACACTTGGCAGACAACGTTGGCAACGGTAGATTTTTATAATTTTAAATTGTTATTAGAAAGACGCTATTAAGATTCTCCTGTATTATTGTTCTCTGTTGCCTCTATAACATCCACGAGGCGATGTGATCTAGTGGATATTCTTGTACCACCATAACACAGCTTAGTTTTATTTACTTTTACGCGCTTAGTAAATTGCATTATTGAACATACAGAAAGGTAGACAAGAAAGTGAGTTTATATTACATTGTCATCCAGTTATGAGCTATTTTTAAAGTTTCAATTCTGTTGCACATCAGAAAGTTAGTTTAGAATTGATTTCAAAACTATACTGAACATCATCATCATCATCATTAAAACCCTTCACAAGTCTACTACTAAACATGGCCTCAGCCAAGGAATGCCATAAAGCACGGTACTGAGCCACCTGCATCCAATGACTTCCTGCATGTCTTACAAGGTCGTCACTCTATCTAGTGGGGGGTTGCACTACACTTCGCCTGCCGGTACGAGGCTGCCATTTAAGAACCTTTCTTCCCCATCGGTTGTTAGTTCTTCGAGCTATATGGCCAGCTCTTTACCACTTCAGCTTAATAAACCGTTGGTCTATGTCGGTTACTCTGTTTCTTCTGCGAATATCCCTGTTATTAAGTCTATCACGCAGAGAAAACCCCGTTTCTTTCCATAGCCCGTCGAGCAATCTTTAGCTCACACGGCCAGCAGTGAAGAACCACGTCTCTGATGCATAGGTTCTCACTTGCAACACGCACTGTTTTACGATCTTGTTTCATAGATTGATCTCTGGGTCAAAGTTGGCCTTACCTGGTCGGACTAGTTGTCCGAGGTAAACATACTCGTCAACAACTCCAAGCTTAGTGCTCCCAACAACTACCGGCATATGTGTGACATGGAAATTACACATGATTTATCTGTTTTCCATATTCATCTTAAGACCTATCCATTGGGAGACACTATTGAGGTCATTGCGCATACATAATGGTCTTCCTGTGATTATGCCAAAAGGAATAGTCATTTTGGTAGAATAACTGGACTTTCTACGCTTTATTATCGGCAAATCAAAGGTGAATGATGTACCCGAAATTGACGTTAATACTGTATCCTTTACAGCCCAGAAGCTTGAAAACGTCTTCCAATGCAGCGGTGAAGAATTTCGGGGATATAACATCACCCTGTCTTACACCTTTCTGCAGTTGGATAGGTTTCGTAACTGGTTCTGTACTCGAATAGTCATCGTAGCCCTACTGTACAATAACTTCAGCACTTCGATATACCGACAGTCAACTTGGCACCACTGAAGGGTCTTGGGAACTGGTAGAGAGTAGTACCAGTCAAAGCTGTTTTCAAATAAGAAAGAAGGAAGTCGCTTGATACAATCAATTTGGGTTCATTATTTATGCACAGCAAAATCTATACAATAAAATTTACACTACCAAGGAACACTCGTTAAGAGTCTTGCACTTAACCTGTTGTTGTTTTACCTTTTAATCTCTGCAGATGGCAATACAAGCCGCTGGCAAGTTTGACATTATTGCTAGTTATTTTTAGTTTTTTTCTTATACAACGATAACAAGTACTTTTAAAAATATCTTCAAATGCTTAATTTTAATGTTATATTTCTAATTTTCTACGTAATGTCAATGTGTTTTTTGCATAAAAATAAATGAATCGCACAGTTTCTTGAGTTTCATTTTCAATAAAATCAATAAAGCATTTTAAATTTTAAAACTTTTTGTTAGCAGAAATGGAAGATTAAACTCAAAAAAGACTTGCAAAACATATAAAATAATTTTCATAAAAGCTTCTGAATTATGAATAGTACGATGCACTATGTAAGTTTTAAGTGTTTTACACTTTTAAGTGGACTAAGGAATATCACAAGTTCAAGGTAACAACTGGAATGTCGTAACCTTGAACTTGTGATATTCAAAATATCTATACAAAAATGAAGTGTCTGTTTGTAATGTCAAAATAACATTCATGTGAAAATATATACGGTACTTATAACAAAAACACATTTTTTTATTTTTTGTCTGTCTGTCTGTCTGTCTGGTTGTTCCCGATAATCTCCGAAATAGCTGGAGTGATTTTGACGGGGCTAATTTTATTTTCGAAAAATAATTAGGGTTCCGCTTAAAAAAAATTAAAACTCATGAAATCCAATCTTAACAATTTACTACTCGCGGGCAAAGTCGCGGGTAAACAGCTACACACAATAAAAATTTCGTCCCCTATTTTCCCACATGTCATCATCATCATCATCATTACAACCTTTCACAAGTCCACTGCTGAACATAGACCTCCCCCAAAAAATGACACAAAGCACGGTCCTGAGCCACCTGCATCCATCGACTCCCTGCATGTCTTACCAGATCGTCACTCCATCTCGTGGGGGGTCGCCCTACACTTCGCCTACTGGTACGAGGCTGCCACTTAAGAACCTTTCTTCCCCATCGGTTGTCGGTTCTTCGAGCTATATGGCCGGCCCACTGCCACTTCAGCTTACTAATCCGTTGGGCTATGTCGGTTACTCTGGTTCTACTGCGGATATCATCATTCCTAAGTTTATCACGCAGATAAACTCCGAGCATAGCCCTCTCCATAGCTCGCTGAGTGACCTTGAGCTTCCTCATACGGCCAGCAGTGAAGGACCACGTCTCAGATCCGTAAGTCATCACTGGCAACACGCCCTGGTTCTATAATTTCATTTGTTTTGTCCATGTTCATCTTAAGACCTATCTGTTGGAAAACACTATTGAGGTCATTGAGCATAGTGCTTAGGTCCTCCAGCGATTCTGTCATAAGGACTATATCGTCAGCAAATTGAAGGTGAGTGATGTACTCGCCATTGAGGTTAATACCGTATCCTTTCCAGTCCAGAAGCTTGAAAACGTCTTCCAATGGAGCGGTGAAGAGTTTCGGGGATATAACGTCACCCTGTCTTACACCTCTCTGCAATTGGATAGGTTTCGTACTCTGGTTCTGTACTCGGATAGCCATCGTAGCTCTACTGTACAAGCACTTTAGCACTTCGATATACCAACAGTCAACTTGGCACCGCTGAAGGGACTGCAGCACCGCCCAAATTTCGACGGAATCAAAGGCTTTCTCATAGTCCACTTACGCCAAGCATAGTGGCAAATTGTACTCCTCGGACTTCTGTACAACTTGCCGAAGGGTATGTATGTGGTCTATGGTGCTAAAGCCCTTTCGGAAACCGGCTTGTTCGGGAGGCTGGAAGTCGTCAAGTCTGCGTGCGAGACGATTCGTAATGACTCTCGAAAATAGCACGTAGACGCGGCTCAGAAGGGAAATCGGTCTGTAGTTCTTCAAGAGAGCATTGTCACCTTCTTGAAAAACAAGACCACCGCACTTCTTCTCCACGCCTCCGGTGTAATGCCACCATGGAGGACGGAATTAAAGAGCCTCTGAAGGACTTCCAGTACCGGTTTTCCACCCGCTTTCAGAAACTCCTCTGTAATTCCATCCTCGCCTGGGGCCTTGCCGTTTTTAAGATGCTGGAGATTTATTCTAATCTCGCTCAGACTGACGTCCGGGATATCTTCGGAATAGTGTCATTTCCCACATTTAGTGTGAATTATTTTCTTAAGATTTCTATGAGACTATCCCTGAAGTATATGTCAAATTATAATAAAATAATAATCATAAAATAAGTTCAGCCGTTTCCACAAATTTGGTGAGCATACATAAAAAAACATACGCGTCGAATATAGTATCTTTTCGTTCTTGGACCCAGTTAAAATGATTTTTAATGTTTTTTTAAGAAAAAAGGAATAAAAACAAGCTGAACGTTAATTTAAACGAGCTTTTTTTATTATGTTATTTAGAGACCCATTCTGGCTTTCAATTTTCAACAAAAAGATCAGTAAATATGTAAAACAATTATTGTAATAATAATTTTTAATTTTGAGACATCATCAGACTCAATTATATAAGAAAATATTTCCCCTGCCTCATTGTTAGCTGTTAAAGCATAACGGCTTCATACAATTTTTATCAATATGGAATAAGTCCAGGGAAGTAATGTGATAATAGTCATTTGTAGAAGAAAAAAACATTTATTTAGACCATAAATGATTGTATTTCAGTTAAAGATGCGGCGTACAGCACATTTCAAGTCAATATGAAGCTATGTAATATAATGACTTTTGAGTGCTCCGCTACATTCACAGCCGGATTTCCTACAGTGTCAAAATTATACCGACTGTAAGCTGTTTAAAGGTAAAAGGGGATTAAATATACATATTAAATGATGAAATAGTAAAAGAGTTTCGGCTTCATGGCCTACCGCAGAAATTTATAACTCTATTAGTAATTCCTCTAATGACACAAAATTTTCATTTTTTTTTTCGGAGCAAATTTACAATTATCATCGTAATGTATCAGTGGTTAAAAGAATTCCTAGAGGTGCGAAGATGTACGCATTGTCATG